ACTTCAGAGCCGAATGTTTCGCGGAGATTACCTGTCAGAATACGTATTTCCCGTCGGCGAGTAAATTTCTCTTCAGGATGGGTCGCGAAAATGTTTCAATGTGGCAGGATGGTCCTCTTAGAAACTGAACGCATTACTCTTCGTTCTACAGACGTTTTTATCATTTTAATTTGAGGCAAGCAAGATGAAAGCATCCCGAATACGAACAAAATGTGTATGCTATTAATCATATTTGTACACATTTACAATAAGTATGTTTAACACATTTAACGTTGGATATGAAGATAATGTCTATATTTCTTTGAAATTTATAACATTTGCATCTGATTGTAACAATTTGATTTTCTGTTCATTTCTTATTTATATTCATTCTTCATACACATGAATAATGTAAATTAAATAATATATAACTTTTAACTATATGCTATTTGAATCTCGTAATTACAAGGAAATACAAATATGATTTGCTACGTTTGTTATGAAGTGTATGTATATTATACGTATACTATATTATTACTTGATAAAACCTATCTATATATTTGAAATACGCAATGTAAATGTTTGATAAGCTTGATAATTTAATCATTTACGTAACTAATTTGTATCACTGTCAACATATTTATCTGTTGATAGCTGGAATCATAATTAAAATTATTTTTTTGCTTTCTTACTGTAAGCCTTGTGTTTACAAATTTATTTTTGTATTTACGGTTTTCAAACTTAATTATGCAAGTATTAGAACGTATAGAAAAAAATGCGGCTATTAAGACTAGGTTCCAAAATGGTGTAAAATTTTCTCTCCGAAAAAAATTTTACTCAATGTCCGGTCTGGAACCAATCAGAAACACTCAAGTTTCGGAACGTCCATCGAGTAAAATTTTCCTCGGAGAGTATGTTTTAGAATGTAGCCTTAGTCTATGAAATTTAACATGTTAGTTATAACAAACTCTTATAAAAATTTTCCTTACAATATACTCGGCAATGCGAAGAAAAAATATTTAGAATTATCTCATGTATTTTTACATGAATGTAAAAATTTTATTTTTTATATGATAAGATTACTTTGTTTTAATGATAAATATATGTAGTAATATCAACGTAAAGCACATACTATGATAACTTTCATGTATTACAAAATGTTTTCTTGAAATTTTATTTAATGATATTATTGTGCTTTATTGTTACGGTTGCAAATTGTCAATGATATAGGTGTTCAGCCATGCTATAATTGCACTAGAGTCTCCTCTCGAGAGTTTCAAAAGTGAAGTAGTTTTTTTACATCAAACGAAGTTGCTATATTCATTACGTTTGCGGCTATGACGAGGAGCACGCGCGAAAGCATGTGTAAGTTTCCATGAAATCAACGAACATTTTCTATAGCGAGTTTGTGTTAAAAGCTTATACGAGAAATCACAAAATTTACGGACATACATAAAACTAAATCACAGAATCACTTTAACGAAATTAACAATCACATAAGAAATCATAAAATGTGGCAAATTCCGACAATTTGGATTTTAAATATTTTTACTTGTATATATATTTATTCTACATCAGTGCATTAAAATTAATGTTTTCTTCCATCAATTTCGATCCTTTGCGAGAAAATTATATTACATTCTTGATATTTTAAAATCGAGTTATTTTATAAAATTGTATAATAACAACAAGGCTCAAGATAAGATAAAAACAATTAAGTGGGAAAACTGGCAGATAAGAACCAACGCATAGGTATCAGTGCGCGAATTTATTATTGTTAAATTTTATTAACTAATGTGCATTAAAAATGTACGTTTTTTGCTTTATCTTCAGCATAGATATAAATATATAAAGATGAAATTGGAATTTTAAAAGTTATTTTATAAAATTGTATAATAACAACAAGGCTCAAGATAAGATAAAAACAATTAAATGGGAAAACTGGCAGATAAGAACCAACGCATAGGTATCAGTGTGCGAATTTATTATTGTTAAATTTTATTAACTAATGTGCATTAAAAATGTACGTTTTTTGCTTTATCTTCAGCATAGATATAAATATATAAAGATGAAATTGGAATTTTAAAATTTGACATACACAACATTTGCAGTTGCAATCAAATTTCAAGTTAAAAATAATAATCGGGATAACAGCTCACTAAAACCCGCATGGAATTTGTACAAATAAGTGGACAGCGTCCAAATGCCATCGCCACACGTATATCGTCGGTGATTTACAATATGATGTTGTAAAGTTTTAGTTTCATTTTGATTATTATTTTTAATGATAATTATATCACAGCGTCTTAATGATATCAGATTCTTATCTGCCAGTTTCCCACTTAATTGTTTTTACCCTGAGTATATCGCTGTTATTATCGTTGATAATTTTGCAGAAAATATTTGTTAAAGCAAAATTGCTAACCTTGTATGTAATAAGGAGATAATTGGTGTTATCTTCGCATTATCTTTTCGAAATTGCGTGTATTTTTTAGAAATACAAATTGTAGTCAAAGTAATAATATATTTTATACAGTGATTTATTATTTTTATCTACATACATTTCATTATACACTTCAAAAAACAAAGTATTATTATATAATAATTAGTGTTTGTATTATGACTTTTTTGTGATCTACTGAGATGTTCTAGTCATACGTGAACGCTTCGCACGTTCTATGTATGTACATGTGCGTATTAGCATACATTTTAGTATATTATCGTATTTATAATTCGATAATTATACATATTTAGTAAAGTCTTAAATCATTATACTTCAAGACAATTGATATATATTTTAACTGCGACAAAAATACGTATATTATTAACTTCACAGAAAATTTTCGTTAAAGCAAAATTGCTAGCTTCGCCTTTATTAAAAAATCGGCGTTATTTTTGCATTATCTCTTCGAACTCGCTTGTCTCGTGTGTTAAATCGTGTCTATTTCTTAGAAACACAAATTGTAGTCAACGTGATACATTTCATAAAATAAAGTGTTATTACGTGCAATTAGTGTCTGTATTAGGACTTTCCTGTTTGCGATCTACTGAGATGTTCCAGTCATACGTGAACGCTTCGCACATTCTATGTGCATACACGTGCATATCAGCGTGTAAATTTTAGCATTATCGTATTCATATTTCGATAATAATATTTATTAAAATCTCAAGATTATTATACTTCAAGACAATTGATATATATTATTAGCTGTGAAGAAAGTACGTATTATTAACTGTGTTAGTAATCTCTAAGTGATAATCCATGTAAATGAACTTTAATTGATAATCATAACATATATAATCTTTGTAACTATACACACAAATAATCGGGATAACAGCTCACTAAAACCCGCATGGAATTTGTACAAATAAGTGGACAGCGTCCAAATGCCATCGCCACACGTATATCGTCGGTGATTTACAATATGATGTTGTAAAGTTTTAGTTTCATTTTGATTATTATTTTTAATGATAATTATATCACAGCGTCTTAATGATATCAGATTCTTATCTGCCAGTTTCCCACTTAATTGTTTTTACCCTGAGTATATCGCTGTTATTATCGTTGATAATTTTGCAGAAAATATTTGTTAAAGCAAAATTGCTAACCTTGTATGTAATAAGGAGATAATTGGTGTTATCTTCGCATTATCTTTTCGAAATTGTTCGTCTCGTGCACTAAATCGCGTGTATTTTTTAGAAATACAAATTGTAGTCAAAGTAATAATATATTTTATACAGTGATTTATTATTTTTATCTACATACATTTCATTATACACTTCAAAAAACAAAGTATTATTATATAATAATTAGTGTTTGTATTATGACTTTTTTGTGATCTACTGAGATGTTCTAGTCATACGTGAACGCTTCGCACGTTCTATGTATGTACATGTGCGTATTAGCATACATTTTAGTATATTATCGTATTTATAATTCGATAATTATACATATTTAGTAAAGTCTTAAATCATTATACTTCAAGACAATTGATATATATTTTAACTGCGACAAAAATACGTATATTATTAACTTCACAGAAAATTTTCGTTAAAGCAAAATTGCTAGCTTCGCCTTTATTAAAAAATCGGCGTTATTTTTGCATTATCTCTTCGAACTCGCTTGTCTCGTGTGTTAAATCGTGTCTATTTCTTAGAAACACAAATTGTAGTCAACGTGATACATTTCATAAAATAAAGTGTTATTACGTGCAATTAGTGTCTGTATTAGGACTTTCCTGTTTGCGATCTACTGAGATGTTCCAGTCATACGTGAACGCTTCGCACATTCTATGTGCATACACGTGCATATCAGCGTGTAAATTTTAGCATTATCGTATTCATATTTCGATAATAATATTTATTAAAATCTCAAGATTATTATACTTCAAGACAATTGATATATATTATTAGCTGTGAAGAAAGTACGTATTATTAACTGTGTTAGTAATCTCTAAGTGATAATCCATGTAAATGAACTTTAATTGATAATCATAACATATATAATCTTTGTAACTATACACACACATATATATATATATATATATATATATATATATATATATATATATATATATATATATATATATATATATATATATATATATATATATAAAAATATATTTTGTATTTTGATATTTTATTGTTATGTACATATTTTGATACGAATAATGTTAATGCATTAATATCTATCATTCTAATATAATTTTTATAATAGCAAAATAAATTTATTTTTTAAGTTATTTGAATGTATTATTTTATGCAAGATATTTACGTATATAATGTGTTAAGTATCACATTATAATCGTTATAATGTATATGAGTTTTGTATTTAATAATCTCTCTCCTCCTCGCTTAATATTACATTTATATACATATATATATATACATATATATATATATTTTTATTTATTTATAGGAGAGAGATTACGAACGGCAGCAAATAGTTGCTATTTTTAGAAGATAATAGAGATAAGAATATATAGAGGTCAATATGTATATAGCTGATGATATATTCAATTGCTGTGACTACTGCCATCCAGTCGTCTTCATGATGGCGAATTATTTGTTTCTCAGAGTTGCTGTCAGTTTTATTTTTATTATCACATACGTCTTTGCTACTGATACATCATCTTTTCCTAAGAATTTTTTATTTGGCACGTCTTCGTCCTCTTATCAAATAGAAGGAGCTTGGAACGAAAGTGGTAAGTAGAAGTAGATAATACTTCTGATAATATGTTTAACATTATTTAATTATTTAAACATTAAAACGCTAATTAAGATCTTAAATATATGAATACATATAACATGTGATATGTTTTCCTCATATTCATAATTAATTTATAAATTTAAAAAGGTAAAGGTGAAAGCGTATGGGACTGGTGGACACATAAAATTCCAAGTATTATATACGATGGTAGCAATGGTGATGTGGCTGCTGATTCCTTTCACAAATATAAAGAAGATGTGCAGTTACTAAATGATTTAAAAGTACGTCTTGCGTAAATACACGTATAAACAAACTTATATTTTACTATAAATACATTAATTATGATATAAAATATAAAATATTAAAATCTAAATATTTTAGGTGGATTTTTATAGGTTTTCAATTAGTTGGCCACGTATTTTACCAACTGGTTACGCTAACGTAATTAATCAAGAAGGGCTCAATTATTACAAAAATCTTGTTGACGAATTGTTAGCGAATGGTATCGAACCGTTTGTCACTTTGTATCATTGGGACCATCCAGAAATATTGGAAAAGATGGGTGGATGGACCAATGAAATGATGGTTGAATGGATATCCGACTATGCAAAAGTCGTTTTCAAAGAGCTTAGCCCAAAAGTTAAATACTTTTCAACTATCAATGAACCTTATATCGTTTGCAATGAAGGATACAAATCAGTATTAAAGGCACCAGGTATCTGTTGCATGTATTTATTCATACTTCGGCAAAACACGCATGATAACTTTAGCAAAACTAGATATATTTTTAAGACAAAATATACTTTTAGGAAAGAACTTAGGCGATCCTGCCGCATTTCTATGCATGCATAACATATTGAAAGCACATGCCAAGATCTATCATATTTACGACAAAGAATTTCGAAAACATAGAAACGGCACAATTGGTATAATTCTACCTTGTTCAGGTGCATTACCCAAATATCCTAATGATACTGCAGCAGTAGACGGATATTTTCAGTTTCACTGTGGATGGCTAGCTCATGCAATTTTTTCGAAGACTGGCGATTATCCAGAAATTATGAAAAACCATGTAGCTGAAAACAGTAAACTGGCTGGTTTTCCGAGATCGCTTTTGCCGGAATTATCGTCAGAATGGGTGCAATATATTAAGTAAGAAATCTATAGCATGCATGTGCAATCTTTTAGCGTATTTCTTAACAATTATCTATTAATGTAAACACATAAAATAGATATACATAATTATGACATATAATTATAATATTTTGAATATGCACATGCTTATATAGGTCTCTTTACATTTTTCTTTATTCAACGAAATATTGAAAACCCATTTAACCTTTTCCAATTTCTTTTCTTCTATAGAATATATATATAGTATATTATTAATAATTTAAGAAATAATATTTTATAATATCATTTAAATATTTAAGAATAAAAAAATTAATTATGTTACGATAAAGCAACTGTAACCAATTAATAATAATGTAATAATATTTTCTTCAAATTGTATTATTTTGTTTGTTTTTTAAGGGGCACATCGGACTTTTTTGGATTGAATCATTATACTTCAAGGCTTGTGGAAACAGTACCACGAAAGAAAGAGCAAGAATGGTACGATTTTTCCGGCGTGAAAGAGAGTATAGATCCGTCTTGGCCAAAAGGCGCTTCAGATTGGCTCCTGGTTAGTCAGCATAGAAAATGTATACTAATTGCATGTGTTAAATTAGCAGATATCAATTTTTGTGAGCTCGAAACTTCTATTTGTATAGGACTCATTCAGAATTCATTAATTTGAGTCTAATAACACATCAGGCGCAATTAAGATGTACAGACGATTTAACTTATTGTTATGAATAATTCATTTTGTGTGAATAATTCATAGATTGTATTCACGATGTCATAAATTGGAAATCAAAATCGAATGCATCTCAGAAAATATGTATATTCCAATAATTCGACTGAATCAAATATGAGGGGTAAAAAATTATGATTCATTATAAAAAAACGAATAATTGACTTGTTGAATGCATTATTGCACATTACGAGACATCGAACATTTTGAATTTAATTAAATACGCCGGCATATATTGTATTTTTCACATGTAATAAAATTACACTATTTAGCAAAACAATTTTCTCCACTATATAAATTATAAAAATACTAATTATATGTGTGTGTATTTACATACAAAAATATATTTTCAGGTCGTCCCTGATGGATTTCGAGAGATAATTAACAAGATTGCGACAGAATATGATAATCCACCTATATATGTTTTGGAGAATGGCTTCTCTGACAGATGTTGCATTACTGATCATTCAAGAATATCTTATTTGCATTCTTATTTAAAAGCTATGCTGTTAGCCATTCATGAAGACGGATGTAATGTGCAGGCCTATTCTGTTTGGAGTTTGTTAGACAATTTTGAATGGGCGTTTGGTTACTCGTAAGTTACTATTGTTTATTACAATTTAAATTTAAAATTAATGACACGGTACAGAAAATATTACATACTGATTATAATTTACATATACTAATTACAATTTTAAATAAAACATAATCGTACACAAATTTTATTTTGATAGAGAACGATTTGGATTAGTACACGTCAACTTCACGGATAGTAATCGAAAGAGAACTCCAAAATGGTCGATGAACTGGTATAAGGATATCATTGCATCAAGGAAACTTAATTCTACTTTGGACTTACCAACTATAATATATATATAATAAATAATACGCATGTATGTATGCAGAAAAAGTCATTATTTTAGTTATTATATAAGAAATAGTTATTAAATTGTTTTTTAAATTAATGCTTTGCTATATATTTGTTTAATTGTAAGATATAATATTCGTACAATTAGATTATAATTGTTTGTATATCGCATTATATATATTAATTTCTTTATATCTAAAATGCTGCTGTAGTTAAGTATTATAAGAAATTGTCATTTAATATTCCAAGTAAAAAAATAATAGATAGATAATTTTATTTTTTAATATATATCACTGTTAAAGGGACATTTTAAATGTACATTTGTAGCTAAAATTGTTGAAGTTTGTTATTCTACATGTGGATGAGAAATAACGTCTCGATATCTATAGAAAAGCTACTTCATACATAGTCTGAATATATAGTCATATCACAAAGTAGGAAAAAATTATATCGCAAGTATAATATTACTTCTGGTAATATATATGTAGAATATTTCGTCCTGCGATTGGTTGTAGTGTAAGGAATATCGGAGCAACTATATAGCAATTACAATTCGAGAAATAAACGAAATACTGGGTTTTCAAAAAGAAGTAATCGCATACCATTACTCTCGGGAAATATCTTTTCAAAGCATGTTCAAAGCAAAAACCTTGGCAAAGTAACGAGAGCGCTTTCAGCGAAACGAAGTAACTCATTATGGTATATGGTCTGTTATTTTTATTCGCACAAACTTTCAATCCAATAAATTTTAGCAAAACGCACTTTAAACAATTCCTACGCGCAGTTAAATAAGAAAATTTTAAACAGAGAAAGCAATTAAAAAATTAATTTTTTAATTAATCCAAACATATAAATACATATTAATTGAAGTTTGAATAAATAAATGTGCTATAAATATTTACGTGAGAGTGTTACCCAGAAAACTTCAATTTTTATATACAGAAAATAGCATTATGGTTAAACTGTTTTGCAATTTAAAAATGCTCGACAAAATTCTCGCAAAAATTCTATAAAGAAAAATATTAATTTTTCCGATTTAGAAATTCTGCTATTATATAATAAAAATAAAACATTAATATTAATAAAATTTCTTATTAATTTTGAAATTTTAGTACAGAATCCATCCAGAACATTCCAAAGAAAATTGAAAACTGAAAAACTGCATTTTTTTTACAAATTTAGATAAGTAACACATTTTGCAAGATTGCTCTTATAATGTGAGATGGTAGCCGAAGAATGTGTGTGTACGTACGTGTGTGTGTGAGAGAGAGAGAGAGAAAGAGAGATAGCATATATATTAGGGTCGTGTTACATAATTTAAGAAAGAATAATAGAGTCTATCTTTGTTTAATTTGTCGGGTTTACTCTTCCACACTGGATAGATCGAATTGCCAGTAGATGAGATAAGGCGTTAAACAAAAGGGTGCAGGTCAGGTCGGCGAGGGCGATACTGCGAATGCTCTGCTGCCTATCTCGTTTATACAGCTTTCTATGCATACCGTCGTCTAATAAAAGAAGAAGGAGGGACGGAAATAACAGATCGCGCTTCGGCAAGCAGAATTTCCTGTAATTACACCAGGAGCGCTATTATATTATACGTGTACTCGTATCACGTTCGTCGATGCTCCACGGAATGTGCCTCAATGAAATGAACTCAACGCCTACTAACGAAACGAACAAAAACGTGATACATAAGCAATGAATCTGCAAGATCGATTGCGCCAAATTACTCGATATATATGTGACAGCACAAAAATATTTAAACTTTAATTAAATATTAACTACGTTTACCATAGCACAATAGTATCGCGCTCAATAACACATACGGATAATGTTGATGTCACAGATGTATATCATTATCAGTTATCATCGACTATTCGTCGATGCATTCCCAGGCATCTTTGATCATTCAATATCGGATTCGCGGGTGTTAATTGTACTCGCGCGACGTGTATATTGCATCATCCCCATATACACAATAATTTACGCATAATTGGCATAATTTGGATAACTCGTGGCGTATGAAATTATACTGTATAAACACATGCAAACCCATCTGCGCGTGCATATAATCCGTAACTCAATAATTATGTATTCGTACACATTAAACGGACCGCGCGAGCAGACTCGACAGTTTCGACGAAATACTAAGAGATGTCTAGACGGGAATATGCATACGCGCCGCAACAACTCGGGCTGCTTGAAGATCGTTTACATTCTAATGTAAATATTGTATGTGCACAATATATGCACGTAGACCGAAAATCCGTGCCCCGGAATCCCATGGGTGAGATTAGCTGTACGCCATGCGGAGGGCAGAACAAATTTGTGGTGGAATGAGGCGGAGACACCGATGTTTCACGATTAATTTCATTGTCCTCCTTATAAATAATCAGATGATACATGACTCTTCGAATAATGCTTAATAAAGGAATAGATGACAGCGATGAAAAGTTCTAAAGATATGAAACTTGCTTAAAAAATTGTGCAAAATTTTCATGTTCGCAAACTGAATTTTTTATCTTGAAAATGGAAAGATGTCTGTGGCATGACTCTTAAATAAATAATCAAAATTATAAGTAAAACGTTTTACCCTGAATGAGTACCTAATTTAAATTTACATCGTGAAAGTCTGATGTGTACGCAATTGTTAAAGGAATATTCAATAATTGTCGTATAAAAGAAGCAGCAAAAATACCTGACAAAAATACGAGGTTTCCTTTCAGAAAGTTAAAAAAGAGACAAGAATAGTCATCTTGCGAATCACCGATATATTATTATGAAAAGAATCGGTCTTAACTCATTTAATTCTGAAGAAGTACTTGTCGATAACACTTTCTGTATACCATTTACTTACTGTCTATTCTTACTTTCCCCGCATCTCGTGAGATTGTTAGCGTTTTGGCGAGAAACGTCAAAAAAAATATCGTGGAAACGTCGAGAAAAGTGATCGAGAATAAGAAACCCCAATTCATTCTCTTTCTCTCTGCCGTTTAGAAATCTGCGAGTGCCGAACAATCCAGCAAAGTCGGTATGCTACGACGGACGCTCAACAGCAACCGCTTTTGTGCCCTAGGGAATGCTGGAAGCGCCGAGGAAAAGAGGGACCGGTGAGAGGCGTCGCGCGAGAGACGAATCCGTACAACGACGTCGACGTAATTGTGTAACTTCGTGGCTGCGACGTACGAAACAATAACCGCCGGCAAATCGCATCAAACAATACTACGGCAGATTGCATCTTCCCGGGCGCGACGCGCATCGTTCCTTTTTTCACGCTGATCTTCTTTGTCCTCGGTCCTCGCGTCGACTTTGCCGTGTCCTCCCAACAAATAACTGTGCGCCTTTATCGTCCCGCGAAATCGTGATTCTCAAAGGCTACCGCCTTTGATGAATCGCGGCGAAGAGGAACGCGAAGGAGGCGACGGATAAAACGCGTTATCGGGTACAGAAACGATTACGCCTCTTGGCATGGGAGTTTCGAGTAGGAAAGAGAGTGAGGAAGCGCAAAAGGACGCTCAACGAGAAGAAAATGTCCTTTCCTATCGCTTTTTGATAACCTTTTGAGATGTCGTCCTTGCGAGAAAAAAAAGGGCTTTTTCGATAATGGCACGACAAGAAGAGGATGACGGGATGTGATAAAATTTCTTATATATATACATATTTGCTATCTATGACATTATTGCGTTTCACGAATATAATGATAGATGACTATTTCGGATATTATCTATTTTAGCATTGAAGAGATCGTAATAGCTGTTTTAAACGTTAAGATAATCGTTAATTGTAATAATTATAGCAAATTATTTTTCGACATTTGTCGCGATGGCGTTTCGGAATTCGAAGGAATTTGACGGAGCGTCTCGTATCACTATCTTATTGCTCGAGTATCGCCGTGCGAATGGCAACATGCTGAGCGTTTGTAATCGCGAAAACACATTATACACCGTGAAGGCCGCGTACCATGTGTTATAGTTAATTTACTGCAACCTTGAAATATTGAACATTTTATACATTATTTTATAATATAAATATAGTGCTGAATATTCTATATCATTTTGTATTTTAAATTAATATTGATAAATAGGCAATCGTTGCAAATGAAATCTGACATTTATTTTAATAATAAAATTGATTAATTTTGATCAAGAAACTATTGGTGTGAATTAATTTAGTATTTTTGCTTTACGCTTTGCCAAATTTTTGATTATCAAAAGATATAATTTTACTTGGCAAATAAAAATGTTTGTCTTGATTTTAATAAATCCTAATAATTCAAATTTATAATTACTGCAAATAATGTTTGTTTCATTACCCAGACAGCACAAGGATGTTTTTAGGACGTCCAAAGGGCATCCAGGACATACATGTAGGATATCCTGAGGATATCCTATTTTAATCCTCGGATCTCCTCTGGATGTCCTGAAGAAGAGTAAATGATAGCCGTACACTAGCCTCTGGAGAATCCAGGGAGATCCTGTGAAACATCTGTGGAACATCTTAAGGATTTCTATAGGATATGTTAGGGATATTTTTCATACGTTAAAAGGAACAAATTCTAAAACTTAAATATAAATTAAGATTGCGATCTGTTATTTACTGCCAATACTAAAAATCTAATACTAAAAATAGTTCACGTTCTTTAAAATTTGACGTTTTCGTGCTGTACATGAATATTTTAGGTTTGGCTTCCGGGTTTGAGTCGTGTAATAATTTCAAAACAATCCAATATCTGAATTCCCTATGTTGGGATTGCATCAGAAATTGAACTGATAAAAAATAATTATATTTTTAATTTCCTGTTAGTTGCTCTTTGCAAGCTTTATATAATTCTCATGACCAAATCTCAAATACGAGTTCGCGCGTCGCATAGCGGTAAACAAACGAACTAGCGGTTGAATACTATTTTTTGTAAAGTTTTTGGAATGTTGCGCATAGTAACATTTCTCATGAAATATTAAATAAATAATAATTTTGAATATATGAAAATGTGCGCAACAAATTCAATTATTAATATTAAACGAAATTAATGTTAACAATTAATTGCACATGTATATATCCTCTGGAAATCCAAAGGACATCCAATATAATAGACAGGGCAGATATCCTACAGACATCCAGGGGTTATCCAGGGGACATTTATAGGACATTAATACTTATTACAATACTTAAAATTTCTAAATTATATTAAATAGCCTACATAACCGAAAGTAATCATGTATGCATATTAAATTTTCATAAAATATATTTATAATAATATCTTAAAACATCCTACAAATATCCTGAACCATCCTGGACATATTCAGAATGATCCTGAGGACGTTTTGTGCTGTCTGGGTAAAATCACGCAAATTATTTTCAAAACGTAATAATTCGAAAAGGAAACATGATAATAGTAAATTAAATAATTAATTAGCTTTTATATTAGATATATGTATTTTATAAAAATGTATTATCTATCTTACTTTTTTATTAAGAGCAATAGAATTTATAAATATAACAGCGAGAAGTAAGTAGGTCCATATTTCATTTGAACATCACGGATGATTCATAATATTTAAAAAAGAGCATCTTGAGAGAACTTGGCTACAGT